GTGAGGTATTGTCTTCTTGAAAAAGGAAACGAATGGTAAACAAATACTCCCTCCATTTCTTTTTGATAATTGTATTTTTTTCATGTTGGCCACTGATTTGAAGATAATTTGGGACTGAAATGCCCCTGGTTAATTACAATGTTGATTAGAAGAGTAATTATTACCAGCTAATTAATGATCCTTCCAGCAGGGCGGAGAATGGGGGGGGGGGGTACATCTAATTAAATAGTGATTGCATATATTACTGCTAGCTTCTCGGTAGAGCATGGTAGAATATGAGCTCAAGAATATACCTTGGCGGCAGCCTTGGGAGGGAAATCTCCACCAAGTCTCGGATCCACGCATTGGTGCACCTTGGATTCATCAAGTCTTGGTCGAGCCTGCATGTCGATGTCATTAGAGTTTTTCTACTGCATCTTCTGAAGAAACACTTCTGCTTCAGTACACCCCCGCTAAACGCATCAACGGTCGAGATCAGTCCGTACACATTCATAATTAAGGGCATTAAAAATAATTAAGTCAAGTCTAAACCTATCGAAACCCGTATGACCCATCTGAATCCGTACGTGTCGTGCATTTAATATGGCCGTATTTGTACAAATATGTACGGGCGTCATCGCCTACTCCACTTGCTCACCCGTCCTTGTCGGCGGCTAACGGCACCAGCATACCGGCCTCCACCCCATCCCAGGCCACGCCGCCTCTCCATCCTGTACCGGTTGTGCCTCTGCTGACGGACATGGGCTGCATCATCTTTACCTTGAAACATGTCCTTGCGGCGCAGCAGATTCATTCAACCTCCAGCTCGAAGTCCAGGCCCCGTGTGGGTGCGTCAGTGCACAACGACGACAGTTTGATCTGAGACTCAGAGCAGCCTAATCCATGCAAGATTTCGTTTTTAAATAGAGTCGTTGCATGTTTGGGAAGCTAAGGACAGAAGAATACTATCTCGTGTTTAAACGTTTTCCTTTGGAATCCAATCAGATTTCTCTCTGTCTAGTCTCCAATCTATGTGACGGATGCTTCCCAGCCAGCGGCGAGAGCAGTTAGGACTTAGGAGGTTCTGCCATGGATAGACCGCACTAGTACTAATGAGTTCCGCTTCAAGAAACGAGTCCCGGGATGCCGATGGAATTGGTTTTGAATATGGATTGGGTCAAATAGATCTAACCACCTAATCAGCCAGCTAATTAATACCAGAAATCTTAATTAAATGATGATGGATGAAAATACCCTTTTTCTAGTTTTTTAGAGGGTACCGGAGCACTACTTCTGAGAAATTATATCCATGAATGTGCATACGTACCCATGTCACGAGGCATTGTTGGCCACGGGATAGTGAGGGATCAAATGCCTTCCGACCGGTCAAGAGTTCCAGCACAACAACCCCGAAACTGTAGACATCACTCATTGTAGAAAACTCTCCGTACATTGCATACCTGACAGAACCAAAGATTAGATAAGTAGGAGAGTAATGATTTTGCTAACCTGGTAGAAGAATCTGACAGCAGTGGAACATTTTGTTGCATACTCAGGCGCATCATAAGCGGAACTGGGAGGATAATATTTTCCTCCAGGACAATCTGGACGGTCCAAAAGAATATTGTCTATGTAGTGAGGGTGTCTGGAAAAACCAGGGTAACCAATCTTCGCAACGTCACTGTCAAAGAGAAATATGTTGCTGGCCTTGATGCAACTGTGGATAATGCAAGGTTCTGTTTTCTCGTGGAGGCACTCGAGCCCACTTGCAGCACCCAGGGCAATCTTCACGCGTTGCGTCCATGATAGAACGAGTCCTGGTTCAGCCCCCGTAACATTCTTTTTACCTGTGGTCATAAACCATGAGAATATCAGGCTTTTTGCGGGAGGAACTATTCTCCAATATTCAGAGCAGTTTGTCAATTTGATGATACTTGTTACATTTTGACCAAAAAAAAAAATTGGCTCACAGAGTTCCCAGATTGATATGGCACAAGCGTGAACATTAACACAACAAACTGCCCCTCTCCCCTAGGGCCTTCCTTGGATTGAGTGTGATATTTATATTTATTTGCTCCCCAGTATTTTTGTTCAAGTTGAGCTAAATATCAGTCAACACACAAAAATCTGGAAGTAACAACTCACCATGAAGAATATCATGCAAGGATCCCCTGGATGCATACTCATAAGCAAGAAGAAAGTTGTCTCCTTCAACACAGTATCCGAGAAGCTGGAGAATATTCTCATGTCTGAATCTTGAGACCACTGGAATCTGCAGCAGAAGGGTGGTAGTTACAAGGTAAGCCTTGTTGTACTGATAAATGAAGAGCATTAACTGGATTGGGAAAAAGGCGAGGCAATGCGGTGAGGACCTCCAAAGTAACTTCTTCAGTACTGAGTATCTTGATCGCGGATTTATTTCCATTGTTCAGCACCCCGAAGAAACAACCACTGGATAAGCCCCCTATTACAGCATCATTGCTAAAGTTCCTGGTTATTTTCTTCAGTTCATCCATGGAAATGGTCGGTACCACATATGATGGAATTTTGTCAGTGTTCTTGGCAGTAGCAGCGGTAACAGGGGTAGGGGAAAGCATATCCTGTGCCTTTCCACTTTTAATAAGTCCAGAGTTGCTACCTACATTAGGGAGAAATTGAAAAATAAATGAGAAGCTGTTCAAGAAACATTCAATTATTTAGTTATATTATTTAGCACAATGAATATTTAATGAGAAGCTGTTCAAGAAACATTCAATTATTTAGTTCTATTATTTAGCACAATGAATATTTATCGACAAGCTACTTATGTGACAAATCTTGATTTTATTTTTCAACCGGGCTATCCCCCTTTCCATTACATTGACATAATGGAAAAAACAAGGTCTGAATTACAGCAACCAGGATATGGGAAGTGACAAATCTGAATGTGGACTGAACCACCAATAAGACTTTAGGTGGTTTACCTTGTGGATTGAACCACCAATAAGACACCTTTTAGCACAAGAGGAACGAGAATCACAGAACATATTTATGGGATACAAGAAATTTTTATATATCAATATTATTAAATAATTTCTACAATACACAGTTACTTTATTGAGTTAATATTTATAAATGAATTCAAATGTGTATATATACGATAATCATCTTCTGAGCCCAGGCTCATTTGCACCTGCCCTGACGAAAAAAATCAAAACAAATACTAGAAAAATTCAAAAAATTCCAAATTTTTTTGCATGGTAGATAATTTGATGCGAGAGGTCCTCCCCAGTTTACAAATCATTTTGATACCTGAGCAGCTCTCAGCAAAAAAAAACAAATTCGGGGTCTGTAAAAAAGTTTATTGTTTCTGACCCGATTTGTCTTTTTTGCCGAGAGCTTCTTAGATGTCCAAATGATTTGAAAATTGGAGCAAACCTCACGCATCAAATTTTCTACCATGCAAAAAAAGTTCGGAATTTTTGATTTTTTTTTATGATTTTGTTTCTGACCGGGTGCAGATGAGCGTGGGCACTGAATCACTGCACTCGTATATATACAACTAGTGAGATGAACTTAACATTAATTGAAGGAGAGAGGAACTGGTATTGTAAAATTATCATGCTAATCATACAAGACTTTACAAACTCCTTATGACCTGTAGAATTTCTGCCCTTCCGCTGGCGGTAAGCTTTTCTAATCGTCCTAAGCCTGTCCGCCACCTCAACCATTTCTGGACGCATTTTGGCCTCCATTTTCAAGCATTCAGCTACTAGCTTTGCGACATCTTCAAGAAATTTGATGTTCTTTTTATCGTTGGCAATTTCTTCATCAAACATTAGTCTCACCTTTTTCCCTTTTCTCAGGGATTCAACAAAACTCTGAGCAAGAATGACATTCCCGTCAACGGCTTTCTTTCGGGTGATGATTTCCAGCAAAACGACTCCAAAACTATATACATCACTCTTCGAAGTTAGAATCCCACTCTGACAGAACAAAGGGTCCATATAACCTATGCATCCAATGACATGTCTGGTATGCTGAGTCTCATCAGCAGAAAGGAACCTTGATATCCCAAAATCTGATATCTTTGGCCGAAAATTTTCATCTAGCAGTATATTAGCGGGTTTGATGTCACCATGAAGAACGGGACTATACATTGAATGCATGCATGATAATACTTCAGCTGACTCAATGGCGATGTCCAAACGTTTGTCCAAAGGGAAGGGGACAAAACCATTAGCATCGCTTCTGCTGCAGTGAAGGATATTGTAGAGATTGCCATTGCATGCAAACTCCATAACAATAGTAAGAGCATTTTCCTCCGTGCAGCAACCAAACAGTCTGACAACATTCTTGTGATTTATCTGGGAATGCACTATCACCTCTTTGGCGAACTCTTCTTTCTTGGTTCCATTTTTGTATCTCTTTACTGCAACTGGACGAAGACCATCTAATTTTCCTTTGTAAACCTTACCAAATCCCCCTTCTCCCAGCACAGTGCTATACCCACCAGTAATGTCTTCTATCTCTTTTTGAGTGAAAGATCTTAGATTATAGTTGGTATTCACTCTTTCTAGCACCACTTGTCCATTAACATGAAGGAAATCCCTAACATTGCTCCCTTGGTAATCCATTTGCAAACCAAGATCAAATTGGTAATGCGAGGAGAGGTGCGGCTTGCCTGTGTATGTCAGAATGTGAACTAATATCAGTGGGCTTACTTGAAATTAATTGTTGAATACTACTACCTCCGTCCCAAAATATAAGAACGTTTTCAATACTATCATAGTATCAAAAACGTTCTTATATTCTGGGACAGAGGGAGTATGTTATACGAGGGGGAATTTTACCTCTGCAACAAAAGACATCGTAATGTTGGCTTAACTTAGATTGATTGCAAGTAGTTTCATTTTACCAAAAAAAAAAAGAGATTGTAGAACGCAAAATGTTACCACTATCAGTTTGGAATAGCATTCTTATGGCAGGGAAGAAATCCCCTTCTTGCTGAGATGGGGCAAGGGGAAACTGAAAAGACCAAGGCGGCGCGAATTGGGAGGCAGGGAATTGGGGTTTCTGATTGTTATACCTCAAACATGTGCAATTGTGCATTCATATCTAGATTTGAACCGGCAAGATCTGAGTGGCTAGCTGCCCCTGCCCTGGCGTGCCTCCTCGGAGAAGCCGGCCATTTGGGTGTTTAGACTGTTGATGAGAAATTGCCACCACCAAACAAACAGAACCTGGAAAGGATCCTGAGCCAAACCCCTCGAAGCATACTAAATGTGGATTTTACTAATCTATGAGGCAAGATGTATTTTTTCCTACATATCCCCGAAATATTTTGTGCAGAAGCATGGTGGATCATAATAATCCCATGGAGCCAAAAATCAATATGTATTACACTTAGTCAAGCAATGGTACCTGTTAATTCCTCCTCGGTAGGCGCCGCATGTGGATCTGAGATGTGCTCCCTCTATTTGCTTGCAGTGCGGGGTGACCGAGGGCTTGAGGGGACGACGCCAGGAAGTCAACTGGGAAGGAGCAGCGCAATAGATAGGCTGTGACAAAGTCGCAGTGGGGGGCAAACAGAATTTTCCAATTCACCATCCACATCCACATCCACATGCCCCGGCCCCTTCCCCTCGCTCGCCGGTCATACAACGGCACGCCGGCGAGCTTGGACAGAATATACAAGAGCAGCTTTCAAATTGGCAATCCCTTGGAAACAAGCATCAAGGAAAAATCTCTGAACCGATCCAAAAATCAATATCCGACTCACCGGAAGGCGGCAAAGAGGGGAACCGGTGCCCGGCGGCGCCGCGCAGCCTGGAAGAGCATATGGCTTGCAGGCCGCGGCATCGGGTTTGATTCGCCGGCGACGAGTGCACGCCGACCAGGCAGGCAGGTGGCGGCGCGCTTCGGGCGTGGGCGCGATGTGGGTCATGCGGCCGGATAAGCGCACGCGGTTGGGCGTTGACTCGCCCGAGACGACGACTATCGACGGCGTGTTTGGCTACAACGGGGAAAAGGAATGGTAATTTAGAACATCTATGGCCGGCCGCCACCTGACTATGCTACAAGGGACTAGAATACTCCCTTCTTCTTTTTAAGGACGCACCACACAGACATTTAGGGGGTGTGCCGCACGCCTCGTGTGGCATCGACACAACCCCGTCCGCACGACGACGTCCGGGCGCACCCAACCACAGCCCTCACGTTCGGTGTGTGGCGCAATTGCCCACACGTCCGGGCAAGCGACCTCGTGACCCGCACAACCTTTCTCGCCCGTCGTCCCTCTCCGCCTGCGAACCACAGTGCCACCGTCCGTCGTCTCCAACCTCTGAATCGATCAATCTTCCCCTACCTCCAACGTCTTCCTTCTTTAGTTGACATGGCAATCAGATCAGATCTCTAGCGCCCCCTATCCCCATCGACGGAAAACACGACAACGAGCTCATAGGTCGTTCTCCTATCTCCTCCTCCTTCCCCTGGCCCCCAATAATTTTACTTCTAGATTGCCCACGTAGATGGCGACTGGATCCACAGTGTTATGGCCACACCACTGTTTTGTGTCGCAAGGATCTACAACTAACATCAATTCCGGTCGTTTATGTTTATTCCCCTTTGCCCTCCAACGAACACAAAATTTGCCATGTTCTATCCTAGATCTGATATAAGCTTTTAGGTTGGGGTTGCTACTAGTAGGTGCTCGAGAAGGATGTTTAGGATTCACTAAGATCAGGGCAGAACAGAGCAATTTGGGCGGCACATATGGAGGGAAAAAATTAGTTGCCACCTATCTTTGTTGTTAGTTGCCATCATATTATGTTGGTTGTTGCCAGCAGTTCAACATGATAGTTGCCATCTAGATTGTAGAAAAGAGAATGAATATGCATGCCCTATCAACAGAAATGCACGACTACGATGTTTTCCTACTTGTCATGCTGTATTGGTTGTTTATGCAAGAAATGTGATAAGATTGCCGTGTTTCCTTTTGTGTGGAAACAACAAAATGCGATTCGAATAGTAATGCGTTCTTATTCATGCAATGACTGAAAACACAGTAGGAGAAGCAGGAAAAATGAATCATGAAGATGGGACTGATCCTTGGTTTTCTGGAAGGCCGCAAGCGCCCCCTTGGGATGCAATAGAGTACAATCAACTCATTTCCGCCGGACCATTGCTGCCACTACTAGAGCAGTACGCAAACATAGGTACGATGCATGATCAAAAAAAGGACAGTTGACATGTTTGTGGGCTTGAAAATGGCATTCTACTTATGTACTACAATGCCATTGTTCGCAGGTTATGACACAATCACATAGGCAGGGATGTTGTGGCAAGTTGCAACACAGGAGGCTATCGGTGATAGATATACGGGAGACCAACTTCAAGTAGCAAATGTGGAAAATAAAGGTAACGCAAAAAAATAGCATACTGATGTGGTGAAAAAAACTTGCAAGGATGGCAAGACTTACGAGTTTTTTTAAGAACACGCAGGACCATCATGCATGTTGGGGAACGTAGTAATTTCAAAAAAATTCCTACGAACACGCAAGATCATGGTGATGCATAGCAACGAGAGGGGGGAGTGTTGTCCACGTACCCTCGTAGACCGAAAGCGGAAGCGTTATATCAACACGGTTGATGTAGTCGTACGTCTTCATGATCTGACCGATCCAAGCACCGAAACTACGGCACCTCCGAGTTCTTGGCACACGTTCAGCTCGATGACGACCCCCGGCTCCGATCCAGCAAAGCGTCGGGGAAGAGTTCCGTCAGCATGACGGCGTGGTGACGATCTTGATGTTCTACCGTCGCAGGGCTTCGCCTAAGCACCGCTACAATATTATCGATGATTATGGTGGAGGGGAGCACCGCACACGGCTAAGAGAACGATCACAAAGATCAACTTGTGTGTATAGAGGTGCCCCCCCTGCCCCCGTATATAAAGGAGCAAGGGGGAGGGGCGGCCGGCCAGGAGGGGCGCGCCAGGGAGGAGTCCTACTCCTGCCGGGAGTAGGACTCCCTCCTTTTCCTTGTCCATGTAGGAGAGGGGGAAGGAAGGGAGAGAGGAGAGGAAGGAAAGGGGGGCGCCGCCCCCCCCCCTCCTTGTCCAATTCAGACTAGAGGGGGAGGGGGCGCGCGGCCTACCCTGGCTGCCCCTCCTCTTCTCCACTTTAGGCCCATAAGGCCCATTAACCCCCCCGGGGGGGGGGGGTCCGGTAACCCCTGGTACTCCGGTTTTATCCGAAACTTCTCCGGAACACTTCCGGTGTCCGAATATAGTCGTCCAATATATCAATCTTTATGTCTCGACCATTTTGAGACTCCTCGTCATGTCTGTGGTCACATCCGGGACTCCGAAAAAACTTCGGTACATCAAAATATATAAACTCATAATGAAACTGTCATCATAACATTAAGCGTGCGGACCCTACGGTTCGAGAACAATGTAGACATGACCGAGACATGTCTCCGGTCAATAACCAATAGCGGAACCTGGATGCTCATATTGGCTCCTACATATTCTATGAAGATCTTTATCGGTCAGACCGCATAACAACATACGTTGTTCCCTTTGTCATCGGTATGTTACTTGCCCGAGATTCGATCGTCGGTATCTCAATACCTAGTTCAATCTCGTTACCGGCAAGTCTCTTTACTCGTTCCGTAATACATCATCTCGCAACTAACTCATTAGTTACAATGCTTGCAAGGCTTATGTGATGTGCATTACCGAGAGGGTCCAGAGATACCTCTCCGACAATCGGAGTGACAAATCCTAATCTCGAAATACGCCAACCCAACATGTACCTTTGGAGACACCTGTAGAGCACCTTTATAATCACCCAGTTACGTTGTGACGTTTGGTAGCACACAAAGTGTTCCTCCGGTAAATGGGAGTTGCATAATCTCATAGTCATAGGAACATGTATAAGTCATGAAGAAAGCAATAGCAACATACTAAACGATCAGGTGCTAAGCTAATGAAATGGGTCATGTCAATCACATCATTCTCCTAATGATGTGATCCCGTTAATCAAATGACAACACATGTCTATGGTTAGGAAACATAACCATCTTCGATTAACGAGCTAGTCAAGTAGAGGCATACTAGTGACATTTAGTTTGTCTATGTATTCACACAAGTATTATGTTTCCGGTTAATACAATTCTAGCATGAATAATAAACATTTATCATGATATAAGGAAATAAAATAATAACTTTATTATTGCCTCTAGGCCATATTTCCTTCAGTCTCCCACTTGCACTAGAGTCAATAATCTAGATTACACAGTAATGATTCTGACACCCATGGAGCTTTGGTGCTGATCATGTTTTGCTCGTGGAAGAGGCTTAGTCAATGGGTCTGCAACATTCAGATCTGTATGTATCTTGCAAATCTCTATGTCTCCCACCTGGACTAGATCCCGGATGGAATTGAAGCGTCTCTTGATGTGCTTGGTTCTCTTGTGAGATATGGATTCCTTTGCCAAGGCAATTGCACCAGTATTGTCACAAAAGATTTTCATTGGACCCGATGCACTAGGTATGACACCTAGATCGGATATGAACTCCTTCATCCAGACTCCTTCATTTGCTGCTTCTGAAGCAGCTATGTACTCCGCTTCACATGTAGATCCCGCCACAACGCTTTGTTTAGAACTGCACCAACTGACAGCTCCACCGCTTAATGTAAACACGTATCCGGTTTGCGATTTAGAATCGTCCAGATCAGTGTCAAAGCTTGCATCAACGTAACCATTTACGATGAGCTCTTTGTCACCTCCATATACGAGAAACATATCCTTAGTCCTTTTCAGGTATTTCAGGATGTTCTTGACCGTTGTCCAGTGATCCACTCCTGGATTACTTTGGTACCTCCCTGCTAGACTTATAGGAAGACACACATCAGGTCTGGTACACAACATTGCATACATGATAGAGCCTATGGCTGAAGCATAGGGAACATCTTTCATTTTCTCTCTATCTTCTGCAGTGGTCGGGCATTGAGTCTTACTCAACTTCACACCTTGTAACACATGCAAGAATCCTTTCTTAGCCTGATCCATTTTGAATTTCTTTAAAACTTTGTCAAGGTATGTGCT